CAACATCAGACATCTCAGTCCAGAAATGTGCAGTTCTAAGTACAGCCAAGATACTGCACAGAACCCTCAAGGTCCTTGTTTGGAATTGATTCGGTGATGGCAATTGCCAGAAGACAAAAACACCAATTGCATTAAAGTTTTTAATAGGTCAGCTTCATACAGCCTCATTTCCTGCAAACAAGAAAATGAGATTTACTTAAATAATGGTGTAATTGTGCAACATAATCCAGTCCTCGGGGAATTGCTGTGCCAAGAAAAACCAAGTTTAATTGGACAAAAGATAACACTGTTTTTATTGTACAGACAAATGAAATACAAGATAAAAATGATATCAAAAGTATCCTTCATGGTACAAACCACTCGATGCATCTCCATAGTCTTATTTGTTCCATAGCTTCTCTGTAGAACGCAGCACTGTGCAGAAGTACACAAACCCCTGTCCTGGCAATTAGAACTGATGGGAGCTTGGGTAATGAGGCTGGTTTAAGACTTAAACCCACTGATGATGCTGGCAGCCTAAATCAATAGCTGACAGATAATTAGGCTGAGTAATATAAACAGATTAATATCTGCCTGCCTGTCAAGGTACAGCAGCAGCAGCAGCTGCAGTGAACATGGGAAATATGTGGGAGGGTGTTTGAAGGCGAGAGCCGCGTTTGACCGTTCAGCAACTAATGGAGAGACAAGGTGAAAGTCTGTGTGGACGACATGGATGAATAGACATATTGATATTGACTATAATGCTGATGTGTCTAAGCAAAAATTTGAGAGGTGGTTTTAAAAATGGTTGTGCTGAATATTTGAACGTTTGGCTATTCCACTCATCTTTAAAGCTGATTTTATCAGATCGATTATCCAGGTTGTCTTCTCAGGTAGATTCAGTTCAATTCGGTTTATTTATGTAGCCCCAATTCACGACAAATGTCATCCTAAGCCACTTCATAAGAAAAGATATTTCTCTTCTATCATATATACATTCCAATTGATCCTAGTTATGAAGCAGTACAGTATGATCAAATTGATACTGCAAGTCATTTAAAAAGTTTCTATCAATGGAAACCCAACAGATTGCATCAAGTCATTGATCTGCATTCATAACATCATATTCTAGATATCTACAAATTGCAAAATGTAAAAGTCCAGAAGTCATAAGATTATAGTTTTTTTTCTTTCTTTGTGTAGCATATAGTGATATCTTGTGTTGTAAAAAACATGGCTGTGAAACTACTCTGCTATTACTTACTTAGTCCTGAGGCAAACTTCCTGCCTTAGGATTTTCTGCATGGACTCTCTATTTCCTGTACATCTGTGTGTTCTGGCTTCCCCCCTCAGGCCTCATTGCTCTGAACTACTGTGCGTGTATGTGTATGTGTGTGCGTGTGTGTGTGTGTGTGTGTGTGCGTGTGTGTGTGTGTGTGTGTGTGTGCGCGTGTGTGCGTGTGTGTGTGTGTGTGCGTGTGCGTGCATGTGCATGTGCATGTGTATGAATGTGTGGTTGGTTGTCCTGCATGTTTGTGTGTTTCGCTGTGATGGACTGGAGACCTGAACAGGGTGGACTGCGCCTCTCGGCCGTCTTTACTTCGTCTGTCCAGAGAAATGCTCAGCTGGACCATGAGCCTGGCAGAAGTGAGATTCAGGTTTTGAACTGATAACCTGTCCAGGCTTTTCCCTGTGCAGGACAAGCTTTAGAGATACACAAATCTGATCAATAATCATATTGTTATCAGAATATATTTTTAATAATTACATTTTTGTTTCTGTGATTTTTTGGAAGCTGTGGTGTTATTTTTTTCTTCTTTTTTTTTCTTTTTCTTTAATGGATCTCCTGTGGTATAAGCTGATATTATTATTAAACAAGAAAGCAAAGTCAGTTTGGGTTTTCTTTGTTTTTTTTTGTTTTTTTTTGTTTACATTTCATTATCAAATTTCTAATATTCTCCTACTAAAGTTTGCCTATTTTCTTCTTGGCAACTTGAAGTGTTTGCTACAGAATGAGTAAGTACTAAAGACTTAAACTCCAACTTCTATCTTTATCCAGCATGCCTTTTGCTCTGCAGCCAAGGCCAGTGTAGTGCTGGCTGACAGACGCTGGACAGTGTGCAGAGCGGGTTGAAGGTGAGTCAAGCTGGCAACCAAGTCTGCAGCCAAGTTGATAATTCTATTAGCTTGCTCGGCTACAGCCGGAGCGGTGCAGTGCTCTGCATGCACCTGGCTTTTAGAGCATTCTCCTGAGATAGAAAGAAAGTGCGTGAGAGGGTGGTGGAGAGATAAAAAGGGGGAGTGAAGGAATGGAAACACAAGTGAGACCGAATAAAATATAGAGAGGAAGAGATAAAAGGCCTTTCTGTATTCACCGGGCTTCCACGGTCTCTTGGGGGCAGGATCACCTCCACTTATTGAAGAATAGAAGCCGCTGCTGGACCGGCTGATAGCTGAGACAATGTATGCGAGGGCGAAGTGAGAGAGGACAAAAGATCAGGGGGGGAAGGAGGGAATATGACAAAGACAAAGAGGGTTGGATGAGAAGAGAGTGAACAGGAGCTTTCACACTAGTTTTCCTCCATTTATGCCCCGGCATTATTAAAAACAAACAGGCGAAGGCGGCTCACTGAATGCACAATCGTCTAACTGGAGTTTTGGGTCACTGCAGCGCTGAGGCTGTACAACGCCAAGGTCAAACACACAGCCGATAAAAAGAGACACAAGAATCTCCAGATCTCTATTAAAGCTGTTCCCCCTGCCTTCATATTAGCTTTCCCATTTAATGATAACCAAACAGGCTTTGAGAAAGCCTGCATGGTCTAATAGCTCTGCTGCAGCCTTTAGGACCCATCATGAACACGTCTCATATAAATGCAGGAGTTTCATATGTCATAAACAATGTGTGAAAAGCATTAAAGGGGAATAAAGTGGAACTGCTGCATAGAACTTCAGCTTGAGTCGAAAAGGTTTTTATATGTAAAATTGTCAGACTTTTTCATTACTGATATCAAAACACAATGAAAACGTATTTTCACAGAACAGAAGAAGTTCTGATTGGTGAATGAGAACTGACCAGAAATCCAAAGGAAAGCCTGGACCAAAATGCCTTCATCTCTGAGAGCAGATCCTGAGCAGTGTGATGGCTGGACATGCCCATCAGGTCTGTATTTACATGTAATTGAGCAGATGAACGCATCACCTTCAGGCATCGATAAACTGTTCCCAGGATGAACCAGACTGCAGCAGCTCCATGATTCTCTTCCTGGTTTCTCCTGACTTTCGCATTAGAAAGCAGTGAATTCCAGGTGAGACCTTAAAATTCATCCTCAGGTGAGCTTTCAATTAACTTTCCTCTTTGTTTTAAAAAGCACTAATCACTGTGTATTTAAACTTCTGGTTTTGAAGACATCAATAAGTAAATCTCTGGCTCATTTCTCTCATTGTGTTAAATATAAATCCATCCATCCAACTTCTTACACCCTTGTCCCTTAGTGGGGTCGGGGGGGTTGGTGGTGCCTATCTCCAGCTAACGTTCCGGGTGAGAGGCGGGGTACACATAGTTTGTGTATGTAAACTTCTGGTTTCAACTGTATGTGTAAATGTGAAATCTGATCTAATACCACAAAAACCATTAAACATTCAATATTTACAGATTATTGGAATTAAAAGACAAAAATTTCAGCTCAACATTTCAGGTTTGGAAGCTCAGAAATGAAAATAATTGGAGTTTATGTGTTAAAAATATAACCCTTCTCTTTCAATCAATAAAATATGCAGCATATCACACAAATTTAGTGTCATTAGTCCCCCCTCCCCCAAAAAAAGAATAAAGCAAAAACTGGGGCATAGAGCACCTCGTGATCATCCTACTTATTTTATGAGCCATACAATAACTCAGGAACCAAAAAACACCAGAGGAATGTTGACTTTCTGAAAGGCCATATCTGGCATACATGTGCATTCCAATATTGAAACAAATGGTAATAAAAGAAGGAGAAATGGCCTGAATAAAATCCTGTAGAATGCATGTAACGGAAAATTGTAATTGGTATAATTTAGCTCGGGTTAGCTGGAGCAGAAAGCAACTTAACGAGGGTTCGCCACGGCGAAAAAAATGAATAAAGAGTCATTTTGTGAAGGAGAAGCTTGACATTATCAGCTCCCCCGGAGATGCACAGCCATTTGCAGATAAATTGAGGCCCTTAGTTTAAAGTTAATTGGATCAACCTGTGGTACACCTTTGGAGTCACAGAGGTCAGTTCATATTATTCATATTCAGGTAATTATGTATTGCGTGGATGTCTCTTTGTCAGCCTGCTCTCTAAAGCCTGAACTCAGCTGAACATGTGAGGAGGTTAACGTGGCCTGGAGCAGCGGGAGGAGCAGGCCAAGCACCGGGTTACCGCGCTCCAATTTCAGCCAGGAAACAAGAAAAAAAAACATGGAATATGTTAGACGACTTCTGTTTGTGACATTATGAGTACACAATTACACCCATCATAACATGCATGCTCTTTATATTTCAGCCATTTTCGTCCTCACACCATTCTTTAGGTCTCTCTTGCACTCAGTCTTTGAGTCTTGTTCACACACACCCTGTTCTGTCGTACCTCACCTACACACACTCACACATACATTTTCCTGCCATGGGAGACTGTGGCTTATGTCCCAGTGAATAAAACCCCCATTATTCAGCTAATTAATAACTTAATTAAAGCTTGCTGGCACGTCAGCCGTGGTTGATTACATCATTATTAGGAGTAATTGGGGATTTCTTTAATGGCACCTTGAGAGAAGGAAGCAGAGAGAGAGAGATAGAGAAATTCCTGTATTTCCTACAATGTTCAGTTTAGCATTTATAGAATCACTCATTCAAATCAAACTGTAAGAATGAAATTGAGCTCAGTTTAATCAAACGACATCAGTTTACTGCTCTGTGTAGAATTTTTCTTCTCACTAGTGAACTCATCAATAAATCAGTTGGCAGCTACTTCGGGATCATTATTGTGCGTTATGTGTTGTGCCTTGAATGGAAAAATATAAATCTGTATTAATGCAGAAACACTAGATTATATGTATGAAGAAAGAATTATATTTAAAAATCTACATTTCTTTTAAAAACATAATTTTCAGTATGCAGGGAAGCAAATGATTCAGGAGTTCAGTCCAACTGCAGGACAAAACTGAGAGGGAATAAAACATAAAAAGTTTGCCTCTTTGCAGCGATCTCACACAACAAACACATGAACATTATACATAGATAATAGGATGGCATTCATGAGATTCTAAGATATGCATAATAACAAAATATTCTGAACATGAAACTTTAGAAAATGTAAACACTCTGTTCCTTTTCCACCAGAGATTCACATCGAGATGTCACTTTCAAAATAATGTCTTCAAACATCATCAGCCTTCCACCAGAGACTACTACTACAGCACCAAGGCAGCATGTCTACACAGTTATTTATAAAAATATTAATACTTCAAATCAGACTTTGAAAACTATCAGATGACCACACCACACCGTATATACATGCATGCACATGCACACGCACATAAGCCCACTTTCTCGCTATTCTTTTACTTCACTAGGAAACTGTGAAGTGTTCATACAACTTTTGACGGGAACCTTTTCTGTTCCTGTGAGCAAACTCCACCCACACTGAGTGGACACTCAGTAGAAGTGGGGGGGAAACATAAATACTCTCTGCATGACTTATTTATCTTGATTTTAATCAGTGGGTCAATTTGACCCACAACAGAATACATCTTGAGTTCAATTATAAAGATCATCCCTTGAAAAAAGATTCAAAATGTAATATAAAAAATGTACAATAGATCAATTTCAAGGATAATTATTTTTCAGTGGACATAATTTTTTTTTTTTTCAATACATAGAGAAGCAAATGATTCAGGAGTCCAAATGAGTAAATGTCCAAATGTACTTGTTTGGACATTTTTATGTCCAAATGAGTAAATGAGTAAATTGTCGTCATTGATCCTTTATTTTTTGAGCAATACAAAAAGAAAAAACATCATTGCAGAAATATTGATTGAAATGGTTAGTATAGGAATTAATAATCAGATACAAAAATGTTTTGGAGGATTTTTTTGGTTTCTGACACTATTGCATAATTAAAGGCTCAAAGGGTCAAACTGACCCAGGAACATTATTGCTGTACCTCAGAAACGAACATAACAGGAGGGTCAAAAGCTTTGAAATAATATATGGAGAACTTTTAAAGAAATACTGTTGGAGTACTCAACTATCTAGGTTCATGTATGATCAAAATTAAGACATGTAAAACTGTTTTACAGTCTGCTGTATAACAGCTGCCCTTTTGGTTCTTAAAGTGGTACTGGTGGTTCTGCATAGAACCCACCAGCCAGTTTGCCTGTCGGACCAGAACCAGTTTCTAATTCATTGTTCTGCAGGAGCCCAGAAGTCATGTCAGACTTGAGTCAGCCAATCATCTAACAAATCAAAAATACATTTTGGATGTCGTAAGCTATATAATAAAGTTATTTACGGGATCGTTCAGCTGTATTATATTGTTAAATTCTCAGACTTAATTGTAAATAAGTGAGTCAGTGATCATTTGTTGTTGTGTGAGGAGTTTCTTCTGTCTGGTATTTTTGAATTAATTCCTTCATATGAGATTAACAAGTCTGACTGACAGAGCCCCAACTCAACTTAACTTTATAAGGAATTATGATTAATAGTAATATAATTACATAAACCAAACATTAATGCAAATGTTGAATTCCATCATAGTCATAAGCGAAGTTCAAGGTTACAGAGAGTCTTCTGACATGTAAACATTTAGCATATTTTATAGCTCCTTACCAAATTAGAAAACATTTAACTGACTTCCACTCACCCCAGCGATGTTGAATCCACTGTTTCCTGAGTGTTATGGAGCTATGATAAACCATCTGAAATCTCCTCTACAATGACTGAAACAGGAGAGCATAATGAAATTAGTCTAGACAAACCCAATCCTTTCTCTTTCTGCCTCATTAGAACCTCATGTCCATTCACTGCACACTCCCGGGTCTCAGGTAGGAGCCACTGAAAGCCCTGCATGTGAATCCATCTGGCTTCTTTTAATCAACTGCAGGTTGAAAGGAACAAAAAGTCAACGAGTGAAAAGAGGCGGCTGTTTTGTTTTATTTAGCTGGGATTTTTCATTAAGCAGTCTGTAACCAAGACTAATTATTGTCTAATTTATTCATCTACCATTTTAATTTTCTTTCTAATTTCATATACTCTTGTGTCAATAGTACCCTACCTCTGAAATAGCTTCATATAAGGCTTGGTAATGAGGATGATTGTGTCTCACAATGTATCATGAAATTATGAAGAGTTCTGGAAACATCAGCTTTAACTTCTGGAAGCCGCATCCATAGAACGGTGAGGTAATGGAAAGACTTTGTCCCAAGCAGGGCTGCTCCTGGATGGACGGGTGCAGCCATAACCAGGCTTCACTCCGGTCCAGTCTGGTCTCTATAGTTAGGTTTACAAAGTATTTGCCCTCTCAGAAATTTCTTCTGTTTTTGCTTTTTTGTCACACTTAAATGTTTCATATCATCAAACAAATTTTAATATCAGACAAAGTCATGGCACCTGGTCACGTAGCTCTAAATTTTTGTAAACGTTCACACAAACTGGACAATTTGGAAGGTGTTCTTGCAGAGCAGGTCCCCCTACACTGGCATTTATATAAACCTATGAAGGTTCATTTTAGGAGAATATGTCTCCAACCTACATACCAACTATAAACATCGTACCACTGGCTTCGCACAACTAAACTTTGACTATAACTCAGCCTTTAGGACTGCTAATTAATTAAAAATCATATATGATTTTATGGATTTAATTTTTTTTAGATTCTCTCTCAGTTGCAGTGTAACTATGAAGACAATTACAGACCTAAATTCTTTGAAGGAATCAATGTGTGACTGATTCATGCGCCCCTATTCATATTTAACTGAATTTGCTACCGAAAGGATTTTAAGGCACAATTGAGGATGGGACAAATCTTCTATTTTCTTATTCAAGTCTGCTGTCTAAGGAAACTATATTTATTGGTGTGTTGAAGGACACTGCAAATGGCTGGAAGAGCCTGATGTGCCGGTCAGTCTTCCTTGTCTTTTGTCAGGTGACAGCTCTCCCTTTTTATGTCCAAAATGGAAAATGTAAATAATAATCAAGTCAGTCAGGATGAACTTTCCTTCATGACTTTCTGTGTGCTGGAGAAATGGTAAGCCTCCAGGCAGATCCATCTCCAGCATCCATTCTATTATTTACTCAGGGTCAGAAGCATTTCTGACTAATGAGCAGCTCTACAACAATACATGTTCAAGCCATTGAGGAGAATATAGTGTTTGTGTAACAGAGCTATTCTTAAGTGGATTTTACTGGATTTTTTTTCACCCTCTAAGTCCCTTTTATTATGCTGTAGGAGAGGAAGAAATATTACAGAGCAGCAATACAGTTTGTTTTTTTATTATTATTCATTTCTCTTAAGAACATTTAAACAGCTCTAACCTGTGAGAATTAAGAAGCTGGAGCATTTGTCCAAATTTGCTGATCCACTTTTAAATCCTTATTTATTTAGCTTTATACACTCCAGCACATTGGGAGTCGACTGACTATAAGCTCATTTAAAGACACAATTTCCAACTTAATCTCCTTACACAAAGGCACAGTGAGAAACAAATAAGTGAATTACAAAGATTATCTCATGGCTATCTAAATCTCTGGCATTTTATTTCCAGTAAAGCTAATAAAGAAAAAAAAAACATGTGATTTTTGTGATGATGCTGAAAGGTAAATGATTTTGTTTCCTAAAACAAAAGCATTTACTTTTGCTTTTGATGAACCTAGAAGGTTCATCTTCATGCTGTGGGGTGCTTAGTATCAGACATGCTTCAGAGGGACATTTCATACCACGGAGAGCAAACTATTTAATAATCTAAAGACAGAGTTAGAACTCTGCCAGGATCAAACTCCAGCTCAGATTTCTACTTTCTAAGTCTGAAAGGAATTTGGACTGATAAGTAAACAAATGAAGTTTGTTTTAACATTCATATCCATCTTTAAAACGTTCTCTTGTCAGAGTTGAACTAGACTGTTCTTTGTAACATTCTCCCAACATTCATTCTGAATCTTTTGCTCACATCAGCATCATCCATTCAGTCCTCTCAGCTTTTACAGCCCATGTGTGATTCATGTCAGTGTGGGGTCTGCAGCTCCAGGCCTCCAGTGTAACTGCCCTGCAACTTTTGGATGCATCTCAAATGCATCTGAATCAACAAGCTGAATTATCTGCTTTGCATGTCAGAAGGTTTTGCATCGGTCTGGTCATTAAACTTTCCTTTGATCCAGGTGTGTTGGAACTGGAATCCATACAAAATTTGCAAGACAGTGGAACTTGGTGGAGTTTCAGAGGCTTGATGAAAAAGGAGAACCTGCTCACAGATTCTCCCAATGAGGAAAACTGCAGAGGACTTATTATGTGACTGAAAACTTAGAAGGGCTGTTATCACTTTCCAGGGAATGTTAACCAGAGGTTTGCATGTACTCTTTATCAAAGATCAGAATTTATTTTTATTTAACTTTCTATGTTTTTAACCAGAACAAAATCCTTCTTAGATAGAAAGCGCATTAAAGCTTTTCAGAATAAAATGCCTCTTGTAGGACTGTGTTTTTTGAGCAATGTCTTTTAAACTGAAAGTCTGATGTTTACCTCATTTGTACCTTGACTGGCAAACTTCCTCCACTGATATGTAAAACATTTATGAAATTGTCAAATGTATTTACTCAATGCTCAAATTGAGTGTATTCCAACCACTTACATGACCACAGGTGTGTAACATCAGGAGCTGGGCTTGGCCTCTTAGTTCCAGTGAAATGAACTCTGAATGCTTCAGCATACCAAAACATTTTGGCCAATTCCACGCTCCCAACTTTGTGGGAACAGTTTGGATCTGGTCCCTTCCTCTTCCCACATGACTGTGCACCAGAGCACAAAGCAAGGTCCATAGCGGAATGAATGGAGAATCTGGTGTGGATGAACTAGACTGACCTGCACAGAGACCTGACCTCAACCCCAATAGCAGAGACTGAGAGCCAGGCCTTCTTGTCCAACATGAATATGTGACCTCACAAATGCGCTTCTGGAGGAATGTTCAAAAATCCCCATAAACTCTCCTAAACCTTGTGGACAGCCTTCCCAGAAGAGTTGAAGCTGTTCTAGCTGCAAACTAACATCATATTGAACCACATGGATTAGGAATGTAATGTCACTTAAGCTCATATGTGAATCAAGGCAGGTGAGCAAATACTTTTGGCAATTAAGTGTATGTCCATACACAAAACTGAAAATATTCTTGTTTTTGTTCAGAGGTACTCAGGTACAGTGAGAGAACATTTCAGCTCAAATCTGCTTATTTAATGAGGGTTCCATACAAAAATCATGTCAAATTATGAGGACATAGTTTTCAAACTTTATTTGTGCTGAATATAGAAGTTAAAAGTTGCCGTCCTCTCTGTGAGACATGCAGCCAACATATTCAGTTGTCAGACTAATAAAAAGGAGTGTATGTCTAAAATGGGATTGAAACTATGTAATCCAGGAAAGACTGTAATCCTTTTCATGACAGATAATCAGAGTATGGCAAGTTCAGCTTTTCATCAAACAACACTGACAGATCAAACAGGAAATGATTGAAATGCATCCCAGTGAAACGAGCCTTTTCGGCAGGATTAGTGTTAGTGATTGAGGAGCAATTCTCTGAGTTCTATGTAACAACAGACCAGTCGTCCTCCTTTGAGGATTTCCTACTGAGAGAATGTGTTCAGTGTGCCTTGGCTTTAATCAGAGCTAAACTTGTACAACCGACGGATGCTAGCCAGGTGGAGCTGCAGTGAATACTCATGAATACTCATGGATCCTTCAGCACCAAGAACCGGTTTCAGATAAATCATCTGCATGGAGCCACAAAGTGAAGAATTAACAAGATGCTAACTCAACTAGCTAACACCAGTTAGCATATAAAACACTCAAATATTTCCACTTTCACTGGAAGTCAGAATTCTAGCAATGTCCCAATCAACTGAACTGTGTTTCAGCTGTAAATCAGAAACCAGAGTTTATTTGTTCTGTGACAATAATAAGACATACAAGACTACTAGCCAAAAACCATATCTTCATGATATATGAATTCAAACATGTTCATACTTGGACAGAATTGTTGTTACCAGTCTGTTAATGATTTTATAATAATGTAAAGAATTATTATAACATTATAATAATGCTTATTATGTTTTTTTCAATTATTCTATTGAACCACAATGCAAAAACAACATATGTTTTACATTAATTAATATTCAGAAGAAATGTATTATTATTATTATTATTATTATTATTATTATTATTATTATTATTATTATTATTATTATTATTATTATTATTGTTATTATTATTATTATTATTATTATTATCATCATCAGTTTCAATATATTTCAGTCACCACTGTAAGGTATTCAGTCATTAACAGAGGAGAACCAACAATTTTGTCAGAAAGTATAAAACAGTTTTCTACAGATATTGAAGCTCTAAACAAACATGCAGCAGCCATCTTGGGTTTTGAGGTCAGGCTTATTGAGAAACATCCAACTTGCCAAGTTGTTTTAGGCAGAACGCTAACAGAAAACCCAGTGTTGGTTTTGCAGGTTTGGACCTTTCTGTGTCAAAGCTCCAAAGTTCTTAACCAAAATAACAAAATGATTCTATTCTATAACTTGAGACTCAAATCACGAGTCTGAATGAAATGTTCAGTTTCTGCTGTGTTTGGCAGAAACAAAATTAGAACACTGTTTTAGACTTAACTGGTCCATTTTTAAATCTAATGGGTTGCCACCTACTGATGCACCAACTGTATTTCAGAACGTGGAGAGGCATTTTGTCCCAAATGGAAGACAAGTATCAGCAGTAATAAGTAAAAATAATGTTGCTGAGGGGCCTGTTTGTATATCGACTTATGTCTGCTAAACGGCCAGACTGTGCCACTGCCTCCCTAACTTTGTGTCATGTGTTAACACGTTCTGTCATGCTGGCTTCTGGCCAGACACTAGCTAATCACTTTCTGTCATTTGCAGCATTTCCACGTGTGTAGGAACGCCTGTGAGCTAAGAAACACTCCCCTCAGACATTCCATCAAAACAAAAATCAATCCGTGCATCAACTGTTCCATTTCACAAAAAGAGAATTAACATTTTGAGCTTCCTTTAATTGGCTTCATTGCAGCCATAAATCACAGTAAGATACAAATGTGTCCTGGTATGACAGTCAATAAAGTCATTATGCAGGGAGGCAGATGGGAGCTGTTGCTGTAATTTCCGTTTTGGATCAGAACAACATGAATTCATGAATTTGAGCTCTGCTGCCGTCCAGCAGAAGGCTGGAGCAAATAAGCACTTCTCTGATGACTGCATGTCTCTTCACACTCTGACAGCGGTCATCTCTCAACCAGCACACAGCTGCCTGCTGGCACAAATCAAGCATGGCCAAATTTAATCAGCTGCACATGGAGGCAAACCAATCCGAGGGCCATTGGGCAAATGCAAATTTTACTTCTACTGTAAAACTGCCATTTTGCTTTCTATTCCCATATTTTTTCTTCCAGTTTGAGAAACATGGGTTCAGGCAGCAAACACGGCATAATTAATAGCATTGTGTGAGGAAACATGTAATAACACTATGAGATAATAAATTGCAATATTGTAAATGCAATCTAATATAAATAACCTAAAGTGGGCTTATGATTGTAAAGTGCTGCCTGGGTGTGGGAACCCCAAAGGGCCTGCAATCTGAGAAGCAGTGGTCCATACATCCTCCTCCTCTACAGAGTCCATAGAAAAAGTTCTGACCTACATTTTACAGCTCATTAACTATACAAAGACTAGCTGCAGAAAATAAACCGACAGAGAGCATGAGTGTGTTGTCTCTGGGCTCATTCCTGAGAGCTAATGTGTGGGAAAGTTAAAGCTCCTGCATGCACACGTCGCACATTCAGAGAGGCTCTAGAGCCAGGAGCGAAAGAAATCTGAATGTGACTTGATGCTTATGGAGAGGACATCCATGTAAACAAACAGGGACAAACACATTCAGGATTTTATATTACCATGAGGATGAAATGTTTATATTTCAAAATTTAAGAGCATTTATTATTACTGATCTTTTTCAGATGAGTACTGCAGTTTAAAAATGTTCAGAAATACAACCAGAGAAACTTCCAATCTTGTTAACAATGGTTATTCCAATGTAACCTTTGGAATACATCAGTCTAGATGGTACAGAGACTGTTGTCATTGTGGAAAAAAAGAAAAAAAAAGAATTGTTGATTATTGAAAACGACTCAAATTATTTGCTGTCTTTATGTTCATCGTGGATAACTAATGATAATACCATACATTGTAAAAGATACAAAATACTCAATTTTATCCTTAAAACATCTCAGCTTTTAAGAAAGTCACATCTCTCTTTTATCATAAAACCTCCGAGACAATTTGAATAACAGATGAGATGTATATTATCTATGGAAACACTAAATATCTACATCAACATCGGTATCGACCGATTTTAGACACTTTTCAGCATATCAGTATCAGTTTGATAAGTAAAACTGCCCCGATATTAACAACCAATGTTTATATCTATTTTGTTTGTGTTTCAGGAGAGGAATGTGGTGGGTTGGTCATGTGGGATCTGTTCAGTCATGTGACAGTGATAGGATTGTGCAGTGTTTAATTGAAGCAGAGAAGCAATATGAGGTGTGTGGTTGCCCTAACCACACACCCCAGCAGTGTGTGTTGAAATGTAGGTAAATATTAGCCTGGTAAAAACCAGCTTCTTGTTCTACGCTCAGCTTCGTCCAGAGGGTCTGAGGAAACGATGGCTTCCTGGAGGCATGGACTCTGTTGAGGTTTTATATTTTACCCCATCGCTAACATTTGCCCGTGATGTATGTAATGCATCATTTCAATGCTAAGAAGCTTTCTGGATACTGACTGCACCATAAACACCAATCCTCCATTGCAAAGAGAGAAGAGCAGAGCAGCCCAAATATTCATATCGACGCATCCGTATGATCAGTATTATTAGTACTGGTAATTTAAAGGTTGATTTTGTAACTGCATATTTTGATTGGGAAATCCTGACTCTTAGGATTAATCCAGGAAAAAGCTTAAAACAGGTTTAATACCAGAACTGTTGCACATAAAAGTTTACAGTTCTAATTATATCGGGGCATGGTCAGTAGGAGATGCTCTGTGTCTGTGGACCTGCAGAACACATGTGATGGGATGCTAAGAGAGGAGCTGAAGTACTGCTTGGGAATGCCAGGTATCTCATAGAAAAAGAAGTGACAGCCAGACAGCGGTGAGGTGTGAGGTAGGAATGGTAGCATATGTCTAGGTGGGATTGGAAGTGCATTGGGGATCAGAGTTCTGTGTGAACGGTTTACCAGCCCAAAGCAACCAAGGAAGTGTAGAAGACCACAGCAGAGCTTTTCATAACTGTGGTGAAGGAGGATGAGTCTGTTTAACAGAGTAGCATCCTAGTGGTGCTCCTCTGCGTAAAAGCAAATAAATATGAAGGGAGGAGAATGACCACCTACCATGCTTCAGAAGAATCTTATCAGCTGTTCTTGAGCAAAAGTTTCAGGCAACATTAATGTATAATTTTGCAGCAGCCAGGCCGGGGGTCGGCATGCGGCTCTTTAGCGCTGCCCTAGTGGCTCTCTGGAGCTTTTTCAAAAATGTTTGAAAATGGAAAAAGATGAGGGTTTTAATTTTTTTGCGGCTCCAGACAGTTTTGTTTTTTTGGACCAATATGGCTCTTTCAACATTTTGGGTTGCCAACCCCTGGGTTAGGCCATCAGTGTCAAAGGATACTTTGTTTCAGAATCAGTCGTCAAACTGTTTGTATTTTTAACTCAAAAGCTCAAATTCTTGTCATACTTGTCTAATATGATCATCAAAATATGCTCAGCCAAAATGATATTAAGGAAATAGTCTCATGCTGAAACAGAGACGTTAATTATGATCGCTAGAGGCTGTCAGTAGCAAAAACAAGCACTTTTACTTTCCCTTGAATAACTGTCATTTATAATTATATTGTGACAATTGCCTGTCACTGGGTTCGCTCATAACACTTAAGAATGTCAGAGATTTTAAAGTTAATGTTTAAAAATCAGATACAAACTTCTTTGAGACCTTAAAGTCTGAGCAGACTTTCAGCTAGTTGGATGTTAATATCTAATGGTGAAAAACAGAAGTATTGCTTGTCCATAAATCCATATGCAAGACTGCTTAAGATTGCGTATGTGTTTCAATAATCACAGGAATAATAGTCATATCATCAAACCAAATCTTGAAAGCTACAGAGAATAATATTTAGGTTTTTGTTCTGAACACAAATGACATAAAATAACAGTTTCATTGATGATTGAGGGTCCTGGATAAATTGCAGCTTTAACTCAGTAAATGTCTCTTTTTTTCTTTCAAAATCAACAACAGGGAGAATGACAAATGGGCAATGTCTAAATGTATAAGCAGTCAACAAAAACAGCAAGTTCTTCCAGTACAGTCATGAAATTAAGCACACACAGACAGATATGTCGTACTTAGGCAGCAGTGAGTACAAAGAAAGAAAGAAAAAGTAAAGGAGCAAGAACATATCAGGACAGAGAGGGAGTAAAATGAAGTTGAGGAGAGCGGAAGGGATTGATTTTCTTTGACATTTCCCACTGAAAAAGTTCTGAACTCGTCATAGGGACTCAGAAAAAAAGAAGAAAGAAACCATATCTAATACATACACTGGCTCCTCCAGCCGTTCCTAAGCAACAGCCTTCACCCGAGGCGAGATCGACGAGCTATGGAGGAAGAGGAATAGACGGAAAGATAGCAGCAGAGAAGCAAGACACAGATAGAAATACGGAGATATGGGAGTGAACTCTCTACAAAGCGTTGGGTGGAAGCTTTGCTGTATTGATTTTAGGTGATATCCATGTTTAATGTTTCAGGATGGTGTTGAAAAATCCAAGGGATTCTATTTGGAGGAGTGAAGCTGCCAAAAGCGAAAGGAAAGACGAGAATGAATGTTTCAACAAATATAAACCGATACAGAATGAAAAAAAGGAAATGTAGTTTTAGAATGTTCTTTTACTCTAAATTCCCTAAAGCTACTTATTTCACTATTTCCTACTCAATTTACAAAACAGTTTTTCTTAGCTTTGCAGCTGAAGAACTGTTGATGGTTTCACACGTCGTCTTAAGTCTCCAATAATACAGACAAAAAAAATCCCTGCAGGATCTGAAAAGTTACTAAATATAACAGCCAAATGTAACAGTAAATTGATCAAAGTGCCTTATCTCGTCCTAACCACACCCACAAGAGTATATTGGCTCTGCCCATTTTGGTGAAGTTTTTCAATATGGGTTCACATGGATGTTAGCTACACTATAATGATTATTTAAAGAAAAAATTACTGACTGGGCAGTGGCCTCTCCAATGTTAGCAACAAAATACATCTTTCAAAAAAATTCTGTACTAGAGAGCAACATTTTCACATTTCCTTCATAAGCATCTGACTAAGCTGCAACATCAAGATGGTCGACCATGAAGTCAAGCAGCTACTTAAAGAAAGCTCACAGAATCCAACAAACTAATAAATAGGCCTTTGTGGATATTAGAGAACTAATAGAAGGAATTAATTTTACACATACTGTATAATACAAAGGAGCAGATTATGGAGCATATGTAAAAGAAAGAAAAAACAAAAAACAAACAGAATTAAGCTATCAAAAAACTAAACTTCCAGGAATGGCAGTTCATAGCAAAAAAAAAAAAAAAAAAAAAAAAAAAAGAAAAACAGCTAGTAGCTTTTTTCTAACTCATTCTATTTCATTTTCTTTTTAATACCCGACAGCAGCATCACTTTTCCCAGAAACTGAAGTATTCCTTTTAATCCAGTAACATGCAAGTCTCAACAGACACTTTTTTGACATATTTTATATACATATATAGAATATTTTTATTTTTTTCCTCTTGAATGTCTGATGAGTATCATACATCCAGTGTAGGAGATTCTGTCTTTGCACATGTGAGAGAGGTTGGGAGCACAAAGAGAATATTTAACCTTCACTCTGGCATGGCAGCCACCAGATGGCTGCTGACACCTGCACTACAACTACCTCTGAAGACAAACCTGCAGACACACATACGGAGAACAATCAAAGATTTAGGGGGTGCTGCTTTGTTTATGCCATCAGCAGGGAAGTCCCAGTGTGCTGATGAAGAGATAATGAAGCGTATAGGCCAAAAATCTGGATACATTAAGCTTCACTAGAGATACTTCAGTAATGAATGCCCAAAGAATTGCAGAATAGGCCTGCAAAGTCGAGTTAAGAGCTGAATTCCCAGTACAACTTCATGACTGCTCTTATCACTGCTAGTGCTCAGCCTGTTCTCTAACTCTGAAAATCAGTTTTCTTCCACTGTTTTAAACATGGCTAATATGAGAAAGGCAAATTTTCCAGAAGGTAATAAAAATAGGAAACCGACTTTATCTGTAGAAAGTAAAAGCTTTTAAGATAAAAGCTTTACCCATGATGTACAGATTATCTGTACACTGTTGTTCTGTATTTTTATCCTCTTCCACACGGCACACTCTGCATGGGAAAAAAACAAAAAACAAAAAAAAAAACTATTTGGTTTAGAGATGGCAGCTAAAGATAGACAGTTTTTTTTCCAGAAATATCTAATGTAAGATCTGAGTGGGGATCAAGGCAGGGACTAACAGAGATTATAAATAAGCAATGATACTCTCTCTATCATCTCTGCCTTGTATAGATCTCTCTCACCTCTCCCTCTCCTTATTTTCTCTACTTTCACATGTTCTCTTGTGTTGTCACTTCTTAGGGTCTTTCCTCCACAGACTCTTTCCTCCCTCTCACCCAGTACTGTGTGTTTTCTTGCTTGTGTCTTTTTGATTCCTGACACATCTTTTTCACCACATCAGCCACCATTTGCTTCATAGCACAGGGTTGTTTTCAAGAGGACATGAGGCATTGTCTCTGCTGTATATTACACTTCCATGTCTCTAATTCCAATTTTCTTGCCTCCTTTCTTGAATGTGTGTCTCTTGCCACTAAAAGCGCCGTGCTAACAAGGTGTAGAGGTCCTACGAATGTTCCATTTAGAAATTCCACACTTTTACAGACTGTGGGGATTTTTTTGTACAATATAGTTATAATTTGGATAATATCTATCTATCTATCTATCTATCTATCTATCTATCTATCTATCTATCTATCTATCTATCTAGATAGATAGATAGATAGATAGATAGATAGATTCATATTTGGCAAATCATTAAAGAACACAGCTCTGAGTCTGATTTCAGATTATGCAGTGTGATAAAGGGATATGTCATCCTTTTTTTGATGACAAAATTGCTTGTAGTTGTGTTGACCTCGCCTCTCCTCCTGGTGGTGAACAGAGCCAACTGAAGGGCAACTTCTCTTCTGTCAGTCTGCCCCAGGCACCAGGGCTGATCAGGTTAACATCTACAGGAAGTCTGAACTGTTTCTACAGGTCCTTTACATAACAAGTTTAAAAATACTTTTAGAGCACAAAATATGAAAAAAAAAAAACAGTATCTCAGACGAAGTCCAAAAACACAGTAAAAAGTTTGTTTATCTTTGAATGACCGCTTTCGGTCCAAGAACCCGAAATCAATGAGTTTGCGTCATTGTTTCAATATAAATTGATGTGAAAATAGCATTAATATGGGCTTTTACAAATAACAGATACAGTCTTAAAATTCCAACAGTTTTCCATACTATTTTTTTAATTCCCTATACTAATCCTTGGAAAATCATCAAATCAATTTCCAAACCATTCCAGATTTTTCAGGAATGCATATAAACCTTGCACAGAACATTTTAACTTTATATCTTTCTCCATACAGTTGCAAACTAAAGTTTGTATATTTTAATATTTCTAATGGAACCTAAAATTCTCACCAAATGTCAAGAATCACAGGAAAAAAAAATCAAAAGATTGATGTGAGGATTTAGTCTAAGTAAAAACAAAGAATGCTGTTTTTACTTTGACTATTTTTATATGCCTGTGATGACTGAGATCAGGTCACTGTGCCAAACGTTCACCTCAATAACATAATGAAAACAAAGAATCAACACCATCGTTTAATTACATCGTGCTGAGACATTAGGTGACTGAAAAATAGGTTTTATTCCTTTTCCGTTAATGTTCCCACTCCACTTCATGGACAGCTTGCCATGGTATCAAGTCTTCAG